ACTGTTCCTTCGTTGATGAATTCACAGGGTAATGTTGTTTCTTCTAATAGTTCAAATACATAAAGGATAGGAATATTTCAAAACCTGTCCGAGGCTTTCGATATTGTGGACATAATATACTCTCACATTATACTCTTACATCATAATATACTCTTACATCATAATATACTCTTTCATCATAATATACTCTTACATCATAATAAACTCTTACATCGTAATAAACACTTACATCGTAATATACTCTTACATCATAATATACTCTTACATCGTAATATACTCTTACATCATAATATACTCTTACATCATAATAAACTATTACATCATAATATACTCTTACATCATAATAAACTCTTACATCATAATATACTCTTTCGTCATAATAAATTCATAATATACTCTTACATCATAATATACTCTTTCATCATAATTTATACTCTTACATCATAATATATTCATGATATACTCTTACATTATAATATATTCATAATATACTCTTACATTATAATATATTCATAATATACTCTTACATCATAATATCCTCTTACATCATAATATACTCTTACATCATAATATACTCTTTCATCATAATATACTCTTACATCATAATATACTCTTACATCATAATATACTCTTACATCATAATATACTCTTACATCATAATATACTCTTACATCATAATATAATCTTTCATCTTAATATACTCTTACATCATAATATACTCTTACATCATAATATACTCTTACATCATAATATACTCTTTCATCATAATAAACTCTTACATCATAATATACTCTTACATCGTAATAAACTCTTACATTATAATAAACTCTTACATCATAATATACTCTTACATCGTAATATACTCTTACATCATAATATACTCTTACGTCATAATATACTCTTACATCATAATATACTCTTACATCATAATATACTCTTACATTATAATATATTCATAATATACTCTTACATCATAATATACTCTTAAATCATAATATACTCTTACATCATAATATACTCTTACATTATAATATATTCATAATATACTCTTACATCATAATATACTCTTACATCATAATATACTCTTACGTCATAATATACTCTTACATCATAATATACTCTTACATCATAATATACTCTTACATTATAATATATTCATAATATACTCTTTCATCATAATATACTCTTACTTCATAATATACTCTTACAGCATAATATACTCTTACATCATAATATACTCTTACATCATAATATACTCTTACATCATAATATACTCTTACATCATAATATAATCTTTCATCTTAATATACTCTTACATCATAATATACTCTTACATGATAATATACTCTTACATCATAATATACTCTTTCATCATAATAAACTCTTACATCATTAAATACTCTTACATCATAATAAACTCTTACATTATAATAAACTCTTACATCATAATATACTCTTACATCGTAATATACTCTTACATCATAATATACTCTTACGTCATAATATACTCTTACATCATAATATACTGTTACATTATAATAAACTCTTACATCATAATATACTCTTTCATCATAATATATTCATAATATACTCTTACATCATAATATACTCTTACATCATAAAAACTCTTACATCATAATATACTCTTACATCATAATATACTCTTAAATCATAATATACTCTTACATCATAATATACTCTTTCATCACAATATATTCATAATATACTCTTACATCATAATATACTCTTACATCATAAAAACTCTTACATCATAATATACTCTTACATCATAATATACTCTTAAATCATAATATACTCTTACATCATAATATACTCTTTCATCATAATATATTCATAATATACTCTTACATCATAATAAACTCTTACATCATAATATACTCTTACATCATAAATATACTCTTAAATCATAATATACTCTTACATCATAATATACTCTTTCATCATAATATATTCATAATATACTCTTACATCATAATAAACTCTTACATCATAATATACTCTTACATCATAATATACTCTTACATCATAATATACTCTTACATCATAATATACTCTTACATCATAATATACTCTTACATCATAATATACTCTTACATCATAATAAACTCTTACATCATAATATACTCTTACATCATAATATACTCTTTCATCATAATATATTCATAATATACTCTTACATCATAATATACTCTTACATCATAATATACTCTTACATCATAATATACTCTTACATCATAATATACTCTTACATCATAATAAACTCTTACATCATAATATACTCTTACATCATAATATACTCTTTCATCATAATATATTCATAATATACTCTTACATCATAATATACTCTTACATCATAATATACTCTTACATCATAATATACTCTTAAATCATAATATACTCTTAAATCATAATATACTCTTACATCATAATATACTCTTTCATCACAATATATTCATAATATACTCTTACATCATAATAAACTCTTACATCATAATATACTCTTACATCATAATATACTCTTACATCATAATATACTCTTACATCATAAAAACTCTTACATCATAATATACTCTTACATCATAATATACTCTTAAATCATAATATACTCTTACATCATAATATACTCTTTCATCATAATATATTCATAATATACTCTTACATCATAATAAACTCTTACATCATAATATACTCTTACATCATAAATATACTCTTAAATCATAATATACTCTTACATCATAATATACTCTTTCATCATAATATATTCATAATATACTCTTACATCATAATAAACTCTTACATCATAATATACTCTTACATCATAATAAACTCTTACATCATAATATACTCTTACATCATAATATACTCTTACATCATAATATACTCTTTCATCATAATATATTCATAATATACTCTTACATCATAATATACTCTTACATCATAATATACTCTTACTTCATAATATACTCTTACAGCATAATATACTCTTACATCATAATATACTCTTACATCATATTATACTCTTACATCATAATATACTCTTACATCATAATATACTCTTTCATCATAATATCCTCTTACATCATAATATACTCTTACATCATAATGTACTCTTACATCATAATATACTCTTACATCATAATATACTCTTACATCATAATATATTCATAATATACTCTTACATCATAATATACTCTTTCATCATAATATACTCTTACATCATATTATACTCTTACATCATAATATACTCTTACATCATAATATACTCTTACATCATAATATACTCTTTCATCATAATATACTCTTTCATCATAATATACTCTTACATCATAATATCCTCTTACATCATATTATACTCTTACATCATAATATACTCTTTCATCATAATATATTCATAATATACTCTTACATCATAATATACTCTTACATCATAATATACTCTTACATCATAATATACTCTTAAATCATAATATACTCTTACATCATAATATACTCTTTCATCATAATATATTCATAATATACTCTTACATCATAATATACTCTTACATCATAATATACTCTTACATCATAATATACTCTTTCATCATAATATATTCATAATATACTCTTACATCATAATATACTCTTACATCATAATATACTCTTACATCATAATATACTCTTAAATCATAATATACTCTTACATCATAATATACTCTTTCATCATAATATATTCATAATATACTCTTACATCATAATATACTCTTACATCATAATATACTCTTACATCATATTATACTCTTACATCATAATATACTCTTACATCATAATATACTCTTACATCATAATATACTCTTTCATCATAATATACTCTTTCATCATAATATACTCTTACATCATAATATACTCTTTCATCATAATATATTCATAATATACTCTTACATCATAATATACTCTTTCATCATAATATACTCTTACATCATAATATACTCTTACATCATAATGTACTCTTACATCATAATATACTCTTACATCATAATATATTCATAATATACTCTTACATCATAATATATTCATAATATACTCTTACATCATAATATACTCTTACATAAACCGAAATTTCATGGTGTCCAGGGCGTTCCTCTAGAAATGCTCAAATGGTTGTAACGTTTACTTGATTATCAAGTATATGGTAATCAATTTGTTCGTATTTACAATGTATGCAGAATGTTAATTGTTAAGTTACCAAACGGTTTAAAGCCAATATACTAATAATCAATAAGAAGTATACTTTATATTTAATAATAAAAAATATCAAATATATATTAAATTCACTTGACACAATAACCCTATACAAACATGTAAATTCTACTTCACTAACGAAAGCGATTTTTGATAATTTCCTTGGATGAAGTGGGATGCCCGTATAAATTATGCAATCGGTAAAGTATCGAGATGGACTGGTATATATATCTTATATTTCCATAATAATTATATTGTATTACAGTTTGGGGAAATTTTGTAAAATAAAGATATATACATTATTTAGATAACACCCGAATAATGTAAACGTATACATGTATGTTCCAATATCCATTATTTTGCCAGTTCTTCTCCCCCTCTTTATGAAGGTAACTACTCTCACTATCACTCATCTATATCAGTGTTGTACAGCAGTTGTTGATTCTATTAATTTTAGAATATACTCCAAAATACAATATGAAGTTTGACTGAAGTTAATATTGGCTTTCACAACCATATGACCATAACACAAGAAGAAAAAAGTGTTTTCATATTTCGACATTTTCATATGAAGTGATTGCACTAATCTCAGTGATAAACATAGATAATCATTAGTCTATTGTCATATGGAGATATGTTCACCTTTGAATAAAATGAATGAATGAAAGTATTGTGCCGAATGGGACACGCGGTGTGCGGATTTTAGTAACTGCTGCACTTTCCGTTTCAAATCTTTAAAAAGTTAGATTACTTTGTGTTTGGTCAATTCTTTAAAACATGATGTCTTCATGGTCTTAGAAGTTCTCCTTTCTGAATTCCATGTGGTACTGTAAGCATTTGGTTGAAAGGATCTTTCCTAGAGCAGGAGAGCCACAGAAGAACACAGTGATCTTGCCTTTGTGCTGCTGTTTCAGGTTTTGGAAAACCTAATGTGATCACGTAAATGAGAAAGGAGCGAAAGACATTCATTATGTATGTTTCCCGGTTATACTCAAACTTCCATTTATTTATTTATACAAAATAAAAACATGACCAGCAAAGCTGTGTTCCATTATGTTCGTGATTAAGACCAAACATTATTTTAACAGTATTATTTTTTTTTAAGAGGATGGTGCCCAGATAGGAAAAATAGAGCAGGGGCAGAGACCAAAATATAAAGAGAGAATGTGGGTGGGAGGAGAGAGAGAAATAAACATTGTTTTAATTTATCAGGAAAATGTGAAAGGAGGACGACAGAAAGGGACAGATGTACATGATTGCAGTATCATGTGGAAAACATGGCCTACCTCGTCCCAATCCGGCCTTCCAGCCTGGGTCCTCGTCTTCAAGCCCGTGATCGTATCTCGATTTTTCTTCTGGTGGATGAGATCGAGAGCGACGTGGAGTCCGATTGCCTTCATGTCACTGGGTAAGAGAGCTGATGTCATGTAGAGATGGATATCGAGAAAGCGATCTGCTGCGGGTATCTCAGCCTGTTCCAACTCGATGGTGCTGATGAGGCTGATAAACCACTCGAAGGAACGTTGATCACGATTGATCCAAACAAAGTCCACCTTAGAAAAAAAAGGAATTAAGAAGAAAGTGGAAGATAATCATTCCATCACCTTGATTGTCCCTTAGATGAATATACCTTACATATTAATGAGTATGTTTATTAGCATAATTATAGTAATCATCCTCGCCATTAACGTTGTCATCACAACATGACTGAACTTTCCTCTTTTTGTATCGTTTCTCTACTTTATTCCCTATCAGTTTATTTCTATCCCGTTTGGTCAGACTTGACACTGAAGAATAAAGAAAGCGAAATATATATTATCGAGATGAGTTTCCAAAGTCTTTTAGAATATTAATAAATAATATATACCCATATCAACCCTTCTTTAATCCGATTACATATGTTAAGTGAACATAGTTTAAAGAAAGCATTAACAATAATTTGATAGTACGCCAAACCTATATGATTATGAATGTCAATCATGTTACACCTCCCCCTTCGCTGTCATATTTAGATCCCGTCTGTTGTTTACACTTTGTAGTGTTAAATAATCTCATATAAAAAATGAATGTAAATTGTGTTGTTTTTCTACCTTCTTGGTTTTCAGGATAGATGATGTATCGGTCACCCAAGTATGGTTGCAGTTTGGACACTGCTTCTTGGCCGCCTTATATCTCTCATGTATGCTCTGTAGGATAGAGGCAAACGGTGTGATGCCTATTCCTGCCCCGATGAGTACGGCATGTTCAGCCTCCATGATATGCTGCGCAGGTGCCCCATACGGACCATCTAATATAACCTGAGGGGAACATGGTGATAAATAAATCATGATTTTGCCATTCTTACGTATTTGTTACATATTTAAAGTGGCATTGAGTGTTGAGACGAAGCTTCAAGGTACTTTCTAATTTTGTGATAGTTATCATAATTAATTTGTATAAGAACTCCATCTTGTGTGACTTGATGCCCTTGAATATCTTTTCACCCTTGATCTGTTTTTGTTGTTGATGTCTTACGGTAAAAGCGGAAGTGGAATGATTGTATTTTAAAATAATCAAGCAAGGTTGAATGCCTTTTGCAAATATCAGTTGACGTTCATGATAACATCACCCATCGTTGTCAACATTCTCATCGATCTACAGTGAACATCGGTCTTAAACAAGCATTTACCATTTACTAGTTTAACCATGTTTCAAAATTTATCATTGATGATTCTTCAATTTTAACAGTGAATTATTTTGTTGGTAGGCCTGCACTTACTTCCAATCCAGTGTGAGGTGTACCGCCTAAATCCTTTGACAGATCCAACGAATGTCGAGCACCGTTCCTTCTTAACGTCACTAAACTCATCTTCCTGTTAACATCGTCGTTCGGCTTTCCACCGACGCTTCTCCTTTCCCGAACAGCTAGAGACTGTCTAACCCTCAGTGATTGTCTTTTGGTGGTATTCCCTCGAGGTGCCTCCTGTACATCAATGCTTTGGCGAGAGTTCAACGATTTCATTTTGAAACTGTTGCCATTGACCGCTAAAGTCATAGATATTTCGCCCAGCTCTTTGTGAGGCATCGGTTGGCAATCACCTTGGGAAGCAGATGGGTGATCAGCTTTACGTGGAAGACTTAATTGTGTTGGATTCACTTTCTGTGCAAGTGATTCATCATCGTTCTGACCAGTGTTATATGGTTTGCCCTCTGTTACGGTCTTGGTTCCATCTTTGTCACCGTTCGGTAATTCTGGCACGAAGCCTAAGTTGGTTGCACCTCTTGCGGTTCTCCTTCTTTTGTTGTATGTTTTTGAAGATCTACGTCCGTTATTATCAATTGGTATATCCGAGGTGGTGCTCTGCTGGCTGTTAGACTCCACGGCGGATGTACTCTTGGTAGAACTAACTTCAACGATGACCTCTAAAGGTGTGTCGTGTTCTTTGTCGATCTCGCCAAAGCCTGGTTCGTCTTCAAGAAGAGCGAGCTGACGTTCTCTGACGACATTGTAGAGTCGCTTTGTCCAGTGTCCCACACATCTTATATGAAGAGTCAAGAAATCTGCGATATAAACAATGCCATATATGGAAATGTTAGATTTGCCTATACGCCAAGCTTCGTTCAGTTGTTTGAAACAACACAAGTACGCAAGAAATTCGTATGTAAAATAGACAATGTCTTCACGGTTAAATATTAGAAGAAGAAAAAAGGTATGACAGAAGAATACAAAATAGCTAAAATGGTCCAATGGATTTGGCACAAACCCTTTAAGACCACTAAATGCAATATAGATCATTCGGTGGCTCTACCATTGCAATGTACCAACTGTGTATCCTCCCCAGGCAAAAAAGAAAAACAAGAAAGGAATTAAAGACATATATAAGAGAGACAAAATTGAGTGAGAGAGAGAAGATGAAAAACCGTACCTTGTTGTTCTGGTGCGCTGCTAATGGTGAAAGGATGCCACTCATGAAATGATATGGATGGAATATTAACATGGATATATTCTCCTGCGTGGAACCTGAAATTAGCGGGACGCTGGATAACAAGATGTACAACCTGTAAAGAAATCGTCAGGAAACGAGACCGTTTGAATTTAAAAGTCTTTAAATCTATATATCTAAATCTATGAATCTTTAAATTAAGTACACTATTGTTTTCTTTCTCTACCTGACGGCAAGAATCAAGTATCAATCTCAAATTCTTCTTGAATCCCTGAGACACAATGAGTTGTAGCACAGGCAGGGGCGGCGATTTCTTTTCATGACCGGGGGACGAAATGCGAGGGACCAGTGGCGTAATGAGCAAAAACGATTAGGGAGGGGGGGCAGAAAGAAACAAAAATCTGCATCACCACCACTCTTATAATGTTACATGATTGCCCCGCGGAACGTCTTTTACAGTGGGGGGGGGGGGGGGTAAAGTATTAATGATCAAATAGAGCGTAGCGAGTGGAACATACATTTGCGTGGGGTCCAGGGACAAAGCCCCAGCGGGAGTCAAGGGGTGGAGCCCCAGGAAGCTCAGGTTATTAAAGGTATTAAAATACGAACAGATGAACAACCAGGGGCCCGCCTAAGAGCCCTTGGTTGGGTCCAGGGAGCAGAGCTCCCGGAAGCTGAGGGGTTTTAGATATTTAATGACGGTCTGATGAGTATCCAGGGGAGGGAGGCCCGCAAGCTCAGGGGTTTTAGGTATTTAATAACGGTCAGATGAGCGTATTTTTATCATCCCTCATTTTGTCACACTGGCAGGTCACTATTCTTTCTTTCTATTTATCTTCAACATACTTTTTCTAAAAAGTGAGGGGGTTGGGGGCGGCTCGAGCCCCCTGAGCCGGGCCCTAAAATATAGGCTTCTTAATAAGCATAGTTTTAGCCTGACTGTAAATTAGGGGATTTGTCATTTTCCAATAAACGCATTACGAAAGTATAATTTACAAAAGTGAGAAAAAATCCAGGAAAATCATGTAATTTCAGCAACATTTGTATATCACTGGTATCGAATGAGAAATAAACCACGTTTGAATTTATGGGGGGGGGGCAACTGCCCCTAAGCCCACCATCAGTACGCTAATGCGAGGGACGAGGGAGCATAGTCAATGAGAGAGGCGAAGGTGACGGCAGTGACAATCTCCTTACTGGTTTTTGAAGTTTTGTTGTCTTAAAAAAAATAACATTCTCTAGCAAACTAGGGTATAAAACCAAGCAATATCCCCTTTTTCACACTTCACTTTTACTTTGCAGGTAAGTAGTATGCAGTCCGAATATCAATTTAGTAGGAAGATTTTAGTAAGTAGGGAGCTAGGGCATGGATGGGATTTATATTTCCCACTCTAGACCTCTGTCATATACATATTTATATCGCTATGGGAGTTGAAATGGCAAATATCAGCCTGGCAAATATCAGCCTGGCAAATATAAAGATTTACGTTGTAGTGACTCCATACTGAAAAGAGCAAGCGGAATATTCATTTATATAGCACTGATCCATTTCTATAAATCTTAATCTTGTAGACATACAGTGTAAACAGTGCTTACGTGATACCGACAGAATACAGATTTTCTACAATATTTACTTGTATATTTTAAAGGATATTATGCGAGGGAGGTTAGCGACCGAGCGAGATGATTTTGCATTTTTATTAGTCTAAACGCTGCACTCTTGGGCCCTCCATAGCCTAAAAGTGTGTTGCAGTCTTTAGTCAGTATTTGCTAAAAGATTATTTTGTGCACTTTTTCAAATTTTCAGGGGGGGGACGTATCCCCCGCCCCCACCCTGGATCGCTGCCCCTGACCACAGGCGTACTGGTGGAGGTGCTTGGGGGCTACTACCCCCTCAACTTCAAGTTTCATGACCAAGAAAAAAAATTGAAAGGAAAATGAGAAACGAATGAAGAAAAAGAAATAAAGAAAGAAGGAAAAAGAGAAAGGAAAAAAAGAAAGAAAAGGAGGAAAGAAAAATATTCCATCGATATATTGTTTTTTTTAATACAGCTGTTATTTTCTTCCGTAATAAGTCTATTGGTGCCATCAATGATATAACACGTTTAGGTTCTGAGGTACTCATTAATGCAAGTTTTCACTTCTTAAAAGGTGGATAATCGTCAGTTTCTCGGAGTTGTCTCCCGAAAACGGAGGGAAAATATCTAAATGACGATTGAACCCTGCCTATCATCAATGGAGAGATTGAAGGAGTGATAATTGCCTATATGATCAAAGTGCCTTAAATTGAAAGTTTCAAACTACAAGAAGTAAACAACAAATTCTCGCTCGGTTGCTACATGACCTCACAAAATGCTCGACTTCAGGAAACTTAATTTTCCGTAATATTGCAAATTTTCTGTAATATTGCCATTTGCCACAATATGGCTGGGTTGTTAGCAATTCATGAGATATACTTACATTAGCAGGTAACACGTATCCTTTCTGAATGTAGACTTTACCAAATCGTGCTCGTCTGAAGAATCCAAAACGTAGAAGGCGTTCTGCAAGGTAGATTATGCCTGGTGCGATAAACCATATCCAGAAGTATTTAGAATGTATGATAATCAAGCACCAGAAAACAATACACAACTGATGTGTCCAGTAAAACACCTAGGAAACAAAACAAAAACGAAAAAAAGACCCGAGGGTCAATTACTCATTATTTCTTCATTGGTTAACAAAGGTTGAATATGGATTAGTTATTTAATAAATGCCCACATGGAGGCCATATGAGCTACGAACTGTCAGTGGTAGTAACGACCTTTTTGCGGGTATAGCCGACTTGAATATTATATAGCTAATGTATTTCAGTAGTCAGAACTCTGAATTTAGAATAATGGACAGCAAATAAATTTAAAACATTGGCGGCGTATTGTGTTTTCTTATCAAGCGTTGCTATTTGTATTCTGGCAGCTATTTGAAGTCAATGTAAGAACTAAGGAATTTCAAAACGGAAATCAGAAACGTCACATTGATTGGTGACAATTATTGGCAAATACATAGAACTGACTTTGACTAGAGACAATCAAAATCAATTTATTGTCTAAGGAATAAAAGGTTGAGCTAAAAGAAGATTAAAAGCTCACTTTGAAGTATCCGTTCCTCCTGATAAAGGGTAATGAGCAGATCGTCATAATGATGAGTACGATGATGATCAAAATACCAGTGATGATACAAGAACCTTCAACAAGGCCAAGACCGGGAAAAGGTCGGACCAGGACATTACGAATCCATGCAGCTGTTGTGCCATTTACATTCTCTACCTGGTAGATCAATCCTATTTATGAAGGAAAAAAAACATTATACTTTAAAATTACAAGGAGGGTATTCACGAGCAACTCTTTATAAAGCAGGTTATCGTTTTTGTTTTCCCATCTTATTTTTGAACAAGATCGTTTAGTATATTGGCTCTGATCTACGTCCAATCGGTCCCATTGGTTCAGTGGTATCATAAAACCCTTACCGTAACCCTACGTCAACACTAATTCTAATTCTAACACAGGCTGCCCCTACCAAGTTTTCAGACAATGAGACACAATAATGTCAAAAATCATGAGTTGGTTTATGGTTTATCAACATATTGCCTTAAGGCTGAATTAAATTCAGTTTACAAGATAGAAAACAAAATCAACTTGCAAATCAATGTTGTAACAATTATCATACAATGTGAGAATATTAAACAATAAAACAATACGGCAAGATAATGAAAGTGTATTTCAGTTTTCTTCATTCAATTTCTACTATAAAAAGTTTGCTTTATTTATAAAGGAATTCGTGACTGTCTCACCGATATTTGCAATATGACCGGCTGTATGGATAACAGACAAGATGATGATGAAGATGGCAACAATCTTGTGGATTATGACATGCTGATCGAGAGGGAGTACCGACATCAGGAACGTATTACGTAATATCGTCAGCAGCTTCCGAAGCATCAGGACCAGGACAAAACAACATTCGAAACTAAGACAGCGACCTGTAGTGTGATGTTAGCAAAATTATAGATAAGTATTGCTTCGTTTACAACATGGTAATCAGGCAGTATTTCCAGTGCAGCAAGTCAAGTGAGATAAATAAAGACTCGTTCAAAAATGACTCGGAAAAACCGCGTCATTGTTTGTTTTTTGTTTTTTTAATGACGGCCTAAATGCATTTCATATTTCTGTATTTTATAGTATACAGATTGCTCCCCAAATACGCGGAACTCCTTGTTTCGCTTAGTTGCAATTCATTTACACATAAAAGAACCGCGGCGGCTTTTTTTTTTTTTACCGCGCCGTATCTGAACAAGCCTTAAGGATATGGAGAGAACGAGGAGCGCGAGAAAGACTAGTACAGAAGAGATAACTAATAAATCAGATACCTGCACTTCTGGCGATGATTATTGCCGCTGGATGCCTCTCATCATTGACGCTACGATAGCCTTCGTACGCACCCCATGCTGCCAGCCCAACGTTGATGATGACGAAGACGATCCAGAAGATGATGACGGAGAAGTTATTGCGGAGTGCATGATAGCTACAACGTGATTGACTTTTAGGTTTCTTCTTTTTAGGGTTCAGCCACTCAGCCGCACTGATAAAAGACAATCAGTTTGATTAATCATGCTTCTGTAAACTCATTGTAACTATTTAATAGGAAATCAAGTCATGAAAAGAATAAGCCAGTTCATAGATACAATCTGCGCATGGGCAGATAAAGGTCATTTGTACCAAAATGGTAAAACCCACAGAGATGAATACTGGATATGCGCTCATGAAAGTTATGTAACATTATTCATTTATGCACCAACGGTACATTCTATGGTACGCAGGTGGAAGTATTTTTTTCAGGAGGTCAAACAAAAGGTATTCATGAAGCACATCTAGAACTTTGGCAGTTATTATTCTAAGATGCTCAAAGTGGAACTTCCCTCCCTAAAAAGGATAGGGCTCAGAAACATTCATGACTAGGCTGATGGATGGTTATCTCGGGAAAAGCGAACATTTCCATGCACTGGACACACATTTGCATTTTTGAACAATTTATTAAAGGGTTGTGTATTGTAGATAGTATTTTAGAACATTTAGCAAGTTCATTGATCTCTTTTTATATCCTACCAGAAGCTAAGATTAGATGTGATGCCAGGGTACCGCTGTAGCTGCTCAGAAAGCTCTTCAAAGCTGACCTCACCATCGCCATCGACATCAGCATCAGCGAAAAGGATTTCAGTAAGCTCCGTCAATGTTTCCTCGGGCAGGGTCAATGCACATTCATCTGTGCAAGATCGGAGTACCGTCCTGAGCTCATCAACGTCGATAAATCCGCTACCTGTTAGGATAAGGATTGAACGGAAATGTCAAAGACGTAGTTTTGTTGTTGTGAAATCATTTGTTGTATATTATATATAATAAAGAAATTACCACAATTAATTCAAACATGATTCGGCCGCTTTGTCATTTGAAAAGCTTATTTCGTTGTGTTTTTTAATTATTATTTATGCGGGGTGTTCGTTTGTACTCTACATTGTACATTGGAGGCCAAGAAGGGTTTACTCTTCTTCACTTTTATTACAAAACTTTGCTGCCATTACCATTAGACCTAAAATAAAAACTTGTTTTATTGCCTTTTGCGACCGACCCAAAAGTCTGAAAATCTACGGTCGGCATTTAAAACAAATAAAAAATTAAACCGTTTTTTTGAATTTTTTGTATTAATGAATACAAAAATACATATTTTGTTTGACTTAGGATATAAATGCACAAAATCAAATTATTCTAAACAAACTTCACATTGCTAGCAAGTTTTACAGGTAGTTGAAAACCAACTTCGTCAGCAGGAAAGCACAGAGTGTTGTCTCAACCCAACATTGCAAACCATGGATTATTATGAGGTGAAAAAGATAGGAATGGAATGATGACTCTGAAACACATGTATTAAAGCATTACAAATTGAGAAATATCAGCCAAAGGACGGCGGGGGGAAAAACAAGAAACATTCAAAGCTGAAAAATATCGGCCCAAAGAGGACGACAAAAAAAAAAAAAAAAAAAACCGACCAACCGACCCATGTCTTTATCTTGATTTTGTGATTACAAGATTATTTTCCAACCTTACCATCTACGTCATAAACCTGGAAGAGAAAGTGAAGCTTCTGTTGTTCTGTTCCATTGACAAGAAGCCGCAGAGCAACTATCAGTTCCTCCAAGCTGATACTCCCTGACTGATCCTTGTCATTGAGCTCAAAGAACCGCTCAGCAAAGAAGGACTAAATAGGCAAGACAAATTAATCAGATTCAAATTATAAATACACTTCAATACTAATCATATACAAGCTCTGCTTATTAATGCAGGCTCCTCTGTAGGGCCTGTAACTCACAAGCATAGCTTTCATCATAGTTACCTCAATATTTCACTCTTCTTTTACGTTCTTTCTTTTAATTTAATGCTTTCAAACAAATTGGTATGAGGTATTCACTCAATAGATTTTATATTTAATTGTACTATTTTTTTAGTGCATCCATTACAAAATGTGAAATTAATGTGAATTATAATATAATAAATTGAATCCGAAACGAAAATTCCTCACATTTTACAAGTTGAAAGCGTATCCATTCTTCCTCTAAACTTGTTATTAATTTACCTCACATTATGCTTCTATCTAATCTTATTTTATTATTTTGTAACCTTCTCTTCAGCTTTTATGAACATCAACTGCTTTTGATGTAAATGTGGAATAAATAAACATCAAGCTTCAATACTTGCATCAGTTCTATTTCCCCTAGTGCAAAGAATCTAACCAATCACTATAATAACTATCATAATAAATGTCACCATTAACATCTCTCTCTCCCTCTCTCTCTCTCTCTCTCTCTTTCCCTTTTAACATAAATTTGCATCATTTAAGATTTTGAATACTGATAATGTATGACTTTTATATTGTTGGACGTCTGTAACAACGTTTAATAATAATAATAATAATAGCTCACATTTATAATGCGCCTAATACTTTGTTTCTAGGCGCGGAACATATTATTACCCCGGTCATCGAATTCAGGCTTACCCGCAACACAATGTATGTACATTTTCCACTCCCTGGGGAGCATTCCAGCTAGTCGCCATTTTACAAGCACCACTTGCTAATCCAACCACATTAACTTTCGCATCCTACCGGGTACCCATTTTAACACCTGGGTGGAGAGTGGCAAATGTAGATCAATGTCTTGCCAAAGGACATTAGTGCCGCGGCGGGACTTGAACCGCGGACCTTGTGATCCACAGTCCGGTGACATATCCCCTCGATGATCCATCCATGAACAATAACATTTTATTGATGAGTTGTGATTGATGTATGAAGATGTATATACATTCTTATATGCATATGTGTATGCAAGTGTTGAGGAGGGGGTGTCTGTGTCTGCATAAATCAATACTAATCAATCATATTATGTCCAAAGTGGTTGCTAGCTGCATCACAAATTAAAACAAATTGATGGGTATGGCACAAGTCATGTTACATACCTCCTTCACATTCAGTGCATTTATGAACTCGTCCAAATCAATGAGGTTATCGTCTCCTGCAACTTCGTGGAGGTGCTTCTCCAACCTCACCAGCCATTTCCCATCTTTTCCTTGCCTAAAAAAGATATGCAGATAAAATAATCTTTATGGAATAGAAGTAGTTTCTCATGTAATAAAGAGGTTGAAACATGATGAGAACATTGCTTAGTACGATCTTAAGCAAGAATCTATCTACAATATTAATGCCCCCCCCCCTCTCTATCTCTCTCTCTCTCTCTCTCTCTCTCTCTCTCTATCCGGGTTCATTAGACGTGTGATTGGTAGTTAAAAGTAGTTGAATCTTTGGAGACTAGAGTAGCAGGCATTTCAAGTAGTGTTGTATATATTAAAAAAAATATACATATATACCGCTTGATATTGATGAACTTATACATAAAAAACATGTATGGTATCAATGATAACTTAACCTTAAAGCCTAAGTGACTGTAAAGGTTTTTCGTGGTGGGAAATTTTCTTTTGCTAATTTGCTAAGAGGTCTATAATGAGTTTCGTTTTATGGATGTATCTTGTAACGGGCAGTAGGTTTATTAGGCTTTTAAAAATAATAGTTGAACACCTACCTTCCTGTCATAGCGTATCGGCTGATACTGTGCGATTCAGAATACGTGTCGTCACCAAGTGGCTCGTTACACACCGAACCCCAATATGTTTCTGTAAGAAAGAAAAAATCAGAATATATAAACGCGAGTTTGAATGCATATTTTGTGAGCGCGAGAAATAGATAGCTGAATAAGATTTAGGCCTGCATCATGGCATGTATGATTGTGTTTGTCAGGAAGCTGTCACTAACACTGGCATAACATTCAAGTTAAGCTTCTCAGTCTCAAAATGTTAGTTTATTGATTTATTTGGATATATCTATGGCTTATACCTGTTTTGTTCCGTTTTGGGGTTTACAGGAGACTTCCCATTGTACGATTGTTATCTGTTTATTTGTTCATATCTTGACACGGTCATGACAATGAAATGCATACCAGGTCGCATATCCATACACTCATCAACTGACGATCAATCTTGTTTACTTGAAACCGTACTTTTGCTGTAATTGACCCTTTTCTTCTCTTTGTGCGTGAACTTAAAGGTATTACAAAGTTTTGAAAAATGGGTGGATAGTGATTCTTTACAATTTTGATATATTTGGATGCCCCTTTTTTTTTTTTTAAAGCACTAGAAATGTTAACCCCTAAAAAACTTCTGCTTTCGAGAAAAATTGAATATAAAGATTTACCGGTGCTCCCGGTAAATTTTGATAAATTTCAAATAGCTCATACGGCCGTACTATGCCGGTAGCTGCGACCATGGCAATCTCAGAATATGTAGTTGTGGTATATAATTGGCGAACGGGAATAGCTAATCGGACGAAATTAGTCAAGAAACATTGTTTTATAGCTTAATTAATATATCGTGACCTTGAGAGGGAGCTATACAACGTAAATTGATTATTATTTATAATTGCATAACTTAAGACTCGATTTCGACCGCGACGAAGATCACTGAATACTGTAGGATCGCATATGCTTCCAATATGTTCATTTAAACCAAATTCATGACCCCATACCAAAACTTTGTATTACCTTTAACCCAAAAAAATATTATAGCCACAGTCACTGCTGATACAAGGAAATCAGGTAGCGCTGATGTGGTTATTGTCAAGATTTTACGCTTGAAGGAACGTTGTCTATCTTTGCAATATCATAAATATTGCTGGCACAAAATTTAAATGCTTATCAGGTGTCGAATACATGGGCTTCGTTAAATATCAAAATCGATTTCAGTCGATCCCTAACCCTTAAACACACGCACATCCTTTTCGGGCCATATGACAGGCTATACATGCCATAATTCGTATAACTATACAACTATACAGCCATCGAATAGACGTATAGTTTAAACCGATTGCATTCTTCGAATTGATGTATAGTTTTATCAAAGCAGAACGTATGAAATGATCAACGGGACCATTCAACTAAACATCCTTAAAATGGACGTTTGATTTTTATCCAACTCGGGGCTGCCTAGGTCACATTTAACCCGGACGTCGGGCGATGTACCCGATCTTTGGGCATCGAGCGATTTGTAGAGATCGGGGAGAAATAAGGCGACGGATTTGATATCGATGACTATGGAGGAATCGCTGGGTAACCCTAAGATAAGCGGCGGGCAATCGGCAGAAATGCAGTCAATTTTTGGAGTAAACATCGGACGGTGTATTGCCGACACCCTTCCGATGTCCCACCGATTACTCCGCGGTGATCGGCGGGACGCCGGCCGATATGTACACATTGGGCGGACATCGGGCGGTCATCAGTCAGACATCCGCCAATGTCCGCTGGACCTCCTAGGGTAATTGGCCGATCATCGTAGGGTGTTAACGTTCGGCCCCCCAGTATAAAATCCGCTCGTTTGTGCAACTTTCATCAGGACAGCTACGAATATCATACAAGTCACACAAGTTTGTAGCGTGCACAGGCACCAGAGCCGGTTGGGAAACACAGTGCCCCCAAACCTTTTCACTGAGGACCCATGCTCGTTTTTACATAGGAAAAGTGCCTCCTTTTACTTCAAGTAAGGCCAAAAAATGCCCTGAACTAATAGTGAACTCGTCGCCGTTTAAATGTGACCTAAGAAGTCGCTGCGAGATAAACGCCGGCGGGCGGCTTTATCAGGAATTTGCCGTGAACAACCTTTACTTCTAGTACACAAAGGAATTGTATGCATGCAGACACTATTGTGATTATCCAATGGTTTTGCCTGCGGGTTCGATTATAATTTGTATGCATACATAGAAACCATTTAGTCCCATTGGTTCATAATTAATTCTGTTTTCTTTATACAAGGTAGTCTCTTCAGTACATAAAAACTGAAGTGCAAGAGAGCCACCCCCTAATAGTGAACTCGTCGCCGTTTAAATGTGACCTAAGAAGTCGCTGCGAGATAAACGCCGGCGGGCGGCTTTATCAGGAATTTGCCGTGAACAACCTTTACTTCTAGTACACGAAGGAATTGTATGCATGCAGACACTATTGTGATTATCCAATGGTTTTGCCTGCGGGTTCGATTATAATTTGTATGCATACATAGAAACCATTTAGTCCCATTGGTTCATAATTAATTCTGTTTTCTTTATACAAGGTAGTCTCTTCAGTACATAAAAACTGAAGTGCAAGAGAGCCACCCCCGCCCCCGGCCCCATCCCCCAACAATCCCTTCGTCATGTTTGTCATAGCCATCAGTAGGGACTTTTAGATTGAGTGGATGAGAACACAACGAACGCCGACTGATCATGCGTGTCAACGTACTCAACTGCCCATGGTGACTGCAATTAGAAATCTTAGACTCACTCGATGATATACATGCATGCATGAAATAACACTATGAATATGACGGACAAAGAAAGAGGACAAAATATACAGTTCCTCATCTACCCTTAACAATTGCTGTGGTAGACAAAAGAACATCCCTCCACTGCTATTATGTAAAAATATGTAGAACAGGTGAATATGCATGTGACACCTGTTCTACACATTTTTACATGATAGCAGAGAAGGGATGTTCCTTTGTCTACCTGAGGAACTGTATATTTTGTCTTCTTTCTTTGTCCGTCATATTCATAGTGTAAGAGTGCACGCGGGCGCACACGGCATACTAGTACCGTATTAGATTTAGGAAAATCAAGGTTGACGCATTCTCGATCGCCGACTGAGACGACGTGACGCATGCGCAGTGCCTTAAAATGACGTCACACGTTGCAGTCAAAGCTATCGACGTGCAAATCTAAAATTCCCTATGATGGCCTACGATTCACGATCGAATTCGATTGAATTTATTGAACCATTATATAGCGTGTGTGTGTCGGCCTGTGCGTGACTCGGCTCTTTTTTTTGTTGGAGATATTATTCATTCCGTGCACAAAATATTATATTGTTTTAAATGAGTAATAAATTACAACAGTTTACTGTATATAGTTATTATATGTTTCTGTGATAGTGAATAAATATACGTATATATGCTTTGTTAAGTATTGGTAATAGTTTGAGATGTATAATGTGCGTGTATTGAATGCATGTACTCGTTATGTTATGTATTGTAATTTGAAATAAGTTGTATGATGTGCATAATGGACACATGTACTGTATGTACATTGTAATTTGAAATAAGTTGTATGATGTACATGTATTGAATGAATACATTAAAGACTACTACAAAACAAATATACATGTTAATATCAAAACATACAAAAGAAAAAGAAAATGCAAAAGAATACAAAGCAAATGGTCAGGGCCACAAAAGAGCGAATTGCTTATGAATAGGTCCCTCACATGAAACAAATTAATTCAGTCACCATACCCACAAACACACACACACCACATAAAAATACTGCATACACACAAACCTACACGAAAGTGTTTGTACAAAATGTGTTTTATACTTCACACAATATTGTTACAAATTTACAAATAGGTGTTTTCTATTGTCAGAATGCTTGAATTTTTATATCTTTACCAAACAATCGTTATGTAGAGTACCCCCTTCTTCTTCGATCAGTATTTCTTCTTTATCCTATGCCCCCCCCCCCCCCTCCCTCCACTCTTCATCTTAATCTCTCTCTCTCTCTTTCTCCCCCACTCCGCAATATTTTCTTGTAATCTTAATTCATTGATTTTTTTCAGTAAGCTTTGAATAGTTTATGACGATTCATTTACTAGGTAATTACGATTGAGGGTCTATGTACGATGATGATGTATATGTACATGTATATGAAAAATCAAATCAAGTCTTGCATGGACTTTTTTTTGTAATTATCAATTATTTGATCCATAAATAGAACGAATAAATCAGCCTCAGAACATAAACGAAATGCACAGTCGACATCAAGTCTTCTCAAAATTCCTCAACATGACGATGATGACGTAAATCAATGTTTTGATGCCACAGTCTCATTAAAGTGCAGCAGAAAATGAAATTTTAGTCCGAAATCTACTTGGTGGTACCACTCGCGGCAGGAGGGGTTTGCTTTCATGGACAGAAAATAAGTTATTCTTCATCATGAAAGCAATTCTAAAGTCAAATTGGTTAAGACTTTTCAATTGGGAGCTATCAAAGTTGGGTACACTTTTTGTGATACGCCCTGTACATGAAGAATTTACCTTCTCTGAACACTTTCAAAAAACGTTACAAACATTACTTGCAAGCTTCCGAGTAATGATTGGAATGTAAGCTACACTGTTGCCCATAAAGTCGGAAAAAACGTTAGCCTTTAGTTTGGCGCTATAAAAGGCAAGATATTTATCTATTTCAGATTGGACAGCTTTCAAACCCAACAACAGAAAAAAAAAAATAATAATAATAATAAAAATAAAAAACAAGGGCTGTCCTCTTCCTCCTTGGCCTTAGAGTCTGTATGCAAGAGGTCCACGTTTTAAGAATTGGCTGTATAATTTTCAATTCTCAAGTTTGACACAGAAGCTCCCTAGGCTATCTGACGCCACTGGCAGTACGCCAGAGAGTGTTTGCCTTCCGACATGATGGACACAAAAACCCGATATTGCTGATGCCCTAGGAATATAACAG